TTCCTTTTCTTTATGGCGGTCATTTTTGACCGGGAATACCATGGGTGTTTCAAAGTTGACTAAATCATCCAAAATTCAATGAAAGTGGTGATCAGCAATTGTATATGTTCAAAGGTCTACTGTGAAGGATATAATAAAGCCTTAATGCAATCGAATGTAAAACAAAAAAGTTAAGATTGATGAAAGTAGTAAATCGGTCAGATTTGACCCGAAGACAACAGGAGGGTTAACACATTTGAAACCTTTCTTTATCTTATTGTTCGCACCAAGTTCTTAAACGAGTTGGCTTTTAATTATGTTGTCTTCTGGGTTCTCCAGAAACCTGCATGCATATAAACAATATACACATGTTTTTTTTAGTTACGTCCAACTTTAGTTACGTCCAACTTGATGTGCAAAAACATGCTTTTATTTTGAAAACAACGTCCAACTTCCGGTGTTTTAATGGATAACTGTTGCGCTTGACTCACGTCAGAGAAAGCTACTCTGAAGCGGATACACAAAGGGAGAGAAAGGACCTGCAGCGATGGGAATCAAACTGTACTACACCACTGTTACTGCCTCACGGACGGTGAGTGTTGTGGCCTTTATTCACCGGATTTACCGACATATCGGTGTTTTATATCTCCGGTTGCAGCAGTTAAACGGAGCTCAGTCCGACAGACACACCCAGCACCCTATCAGCTTCCTCCTGACACACACAGAGGGCCTCTGCTGCTCTGCGCACATTTACACCTTTATTCTAACGTGAGCTATAACAGGTTGCAAGCTTAAGGAAGATTAAAGTCATCATTTGTAAAAGTAATGAAAGAAAATATAAATGACTTGGACCCGGATGCATGATTCCACCTCCTTTATGCTGGTTATATTGGTGTTTAACCATTTGGCTTGTTTTTGCAGAAGTGTGTACTGAAAATATATTGTCAATATGACTTAATTCAAACATTTAAAAATAACAGGGTCATTTTGGCACATCAGGTTTATCACATCGACCATATGCATCCGTTTGTTGTATTGAGGACTCTACGCCAAACTTAATGCAAAAAACGGTCACTTTAAGGTTACATTGGTTATAGAACATATACATTGTAATGATAAGGCTTTTGCAAATAATATGCATGTATTGTTAAGCAATACAGTTAATCCATTAAACAGAATTTGATTTAAATTAATTTTATATTTTGTAAGTGACACAACTGCCACTCAATCTTCTGTTGCAGTTACTAAGCAAGCATGAGGAAACTACTAATACACACATCTGTAAAGTTACCTAATTAAGAGTTTTCTAAAGTTTTTTATGTAAGCCGAATTGACAATTAGACTCTTTAATCCAGGGAAATTCAGATGTTTCTATTCTCTGTTGTATATGTTAGTTGATAAGCAGGATACTCTTAAATATATCAACTTGGCAATGAAGTGTTGAAGGATGTTTCGCTAGACATCAGGAAGACTCGATTGAAACAGGTTGACATCCGGACTGTCTGCAGACATTTCAAACTAGCCTTGTAAAACACAAAATCCCTTTTTAAGAATTATGTTTGTAGCGCTTGGAAAACACTGTATATTAACACACCAATGGGATTAACATCTGGTTCCCATTAGATGTGAGGAATTCAAGTAGTGAAATAGTTTTGTGACATGCACTTATTTTATGTAGTGATGGTTACTATACCACATTGAATAACTTCAGATGTACTTTATTTCAAATGTAATTCCTCTTTGATGTTCAGTTTTGGTTCTTCACAGAATCCAGAGAAGCTTTACTGCTGAATCTGTAAAACCAATTCCTCTTTTTCAACTCAAGGAAATGACATTACACAAACTGTGTGTGGCTAGCTAAATGCCAGCTGGTTTATGTTTCCCGTTAATGTTGTGGTAAGGTGTGGTCACTTTTTACGAAACCCCCTCCCAACTTCCTCTGTCGCCCTCAAAGACTGCAGCCGAGCGTTCACATGTTCTATTAATCATCAACAGGGAGCCAGATAAAGCCTCTGCTGTTCATGGGATGGTTACAGAAAAATAATAGTCACAGCACTCTGCCTTGAATGAAAATGAAATGAAATGACTCTGCCCTTGACGAATAATCATTTCACAAGGTTTATTAAATCAGCTCTCTGATAGCCATTAGTGTTTGACTCAGTTTATAGAGGTTATCTCAATAAAAGCATGATTTGATTTTTGATTGCAAATATTGTAATATTGTTGCGTAATTTGCTTGTTAAAAATGTAATTACTAATACGGGGGGAAAAAAGATGTATCATGAATGCATCAATGGTGGTAAAGGTGACGGTGTGATGGGATGCAACTTTAACTATCAGATACTATATTGAGTAACATCATTTAATACTTAAGTCAAAGTCAACTTTATTGTCAATCTTTCAGTTTGTGTGTACAGACAGAGATCGAAATACCGTTACCTACAATCCCGAATACAAAAACAAATATATATAAACATATGTATACAATATACCTATATATACACACAATCAAAAGACACATTTATACATATGCACACATTAAGACCTAAATAAAAGCACAACAATCAATATATACAAAATAACAGTCACTATCTTTGAGAAGTTACTTAACACCCATGAATAGAAAGAAACAATAGCCATAATGAATGCTGTCTCATAATTGGATGGCCTGTTTTTACAGAGTTTAAGAAGCACTACAATATACAGATAACAGCCTCAGGATTTTAATCTTTGGACTCCTTCCTGGTACCGAGTACATTTCTGAAGTGTTGTTGTTGTGCAGGTGAAGTCTCAGCAGGCAGAGGTGATGCGGATCCTGGAGAGTAAAAGCATTCAGTACGAGCTCATCGACATCTCTGTGGGGGGGGAGCTCCGCGACGAGATGAGAAGCAAAGCAGGAAACCCCTCCGCCGTCCCCCCCCAGCTCTTCAACGAAGACCAGTACTGTGGGGTGAGGACGGCACACACACCTGCCTGGTTATTTTATATCTATTTCCCCTTAAAGGTCACCTATTGTGCAAAATCCACTTTGTCATGTCTTGTATACATCAACATGTGTCCCCTCTTCTTCATTTCTCTTCTACATCAACATGTTTCCCCTCTTCTTCATGTCTCTTCTACATCAACATGTGTCCCCTCTTCTTCATTTCTATTCTACATCAACATGTGTCCCCTCTTCTTCATGTCTCTTCTACATCAACATGTGTCCCCTCTTCTTCATTTCAATTCTACATCAACATGTTTCCCCTCTTCTTCATGTCTCTTCTACATCAACATGTGTCCCCTCTTCTTCATGTCTCTTCTACATCAACATGTGTCCCCTCTTCTTCATGTCTCTTCTACATCAACATGTGTCCCCTCTTCTTCATGTCTCTTCTACATCAACATGTGTCCCCTCTTCTTCATGTCTCTTCTACATCAACATGTGTCCCCTCTTCTTCATGTCTCTTCTACATCAACATGTGTCCCCTCTTCTTCATGTCTCTTCTACATCAACATGTGTCCCCTCTGTGGAAAGAGACTCTGAAAGTTTCAGGAACAAAGATTCTCTCTCTTTTTGTCCTGATCCATTT